CATCAACGTCACCCCTCATTGGATTTGGGCAGACGCGCGTGCATTCGGAGCAGACGTGGACGCGACCAGGCTGTTGGCATCTTCTTCAGATGCCCTCCTTCCGCTAACAAAAATGGACTCTTGCCGCCAGGGGCCCCGCATCCCCGCTGCGGGCGCGAGCGCGGCTGGTGGCCAGCCCGCGACGGATTTCCCCCTTCAGCCCAGGGGCAGCATTGTGCAATTCACCCAGCCATTCGTCAGCGAGGACAACCGCCGGCTGTTCACCTTTTGGGGCGAGGCCTGCGCTGGCCGGCACAAGGTCATCGGCGCCCCGCAGCGGCTCTACCCAGACGACGCTTCCATCTTCAAATCCGACGTGCTCTACGTCAGTCGCGGCGGCGCCGTCGCAGGCCGCCACTTCGAACCGTCGACGTGGGGGGGGGGGGGCGAATTCAAAGTGTCCAAGTGCGACCGACGCGCCGCCATCCAGCCCAGCGTAGAGGCCATCCGCGCGGACCCGCTCAGACGAGCCCACATGCCCACGCTCTCAGGGCGCAACCTGGTATGCCACTGTTTTTGTGGAGAAGACTGCCACGCGGGCGCCCTCATCGATTTTTTCGTTTCCGCGGTGGTCCAGCCATTGCCAGCCGCGTCGTCGGGCTCGGCGGCAACGCGCGCCCCCCCGACAAGGGGTCCGCGCTCTCTGGCGCCCCCCGTGGCTGACGGAGGAGGGGCTCACAGCGCTGGCGACTGGGCTAGTTGGCCCCGCCAGGCGCCATGGTCAGCCCCAGAATGCGGAGGATTTCCTGCATGTCTTTCGAACAGAATTGGAAGTCGGTCGAGGAAGACCCGGGAACGGCATCACGACTCATGCAGGAGGAGATCGAACAAAGGTTTGTCCGGGAGTTCCCAGGATCGCTGGAGGAGGCCCGAGTCCGGTGGCCTTTGGGGGTTGCCGTGGGCAAATTGGGCATCGCCCGATCTGATGATCGCGATCCCCGCCCCTGCCTGGAGTGCGCAGCCCCGAACGTCAATGACAAAGTGCAGCTTTATGAAAAGGCGTTCCACCCAGGCCTGGAGGACACTGCGGCCGCGGAGGTCGTGCAGCATCCGCCCCCTGGCGTCGGATTCACTGTTATGTTGATGTTAGCAAGGCGCACAAGCGCCTCAGGATCCGCGAAGACGAGTGGGGCCTCGCGAAGTTCCAGTACCAACAGCGCCTGCATCATTACACATTAGGTGGCTTGCCATTTTGGGGACAAAATCAGGGCTGCTTAGAGTCGGATGGGCGCGGCTTTGATTCGCCTCTGCCACCATTTCATCTCCGTGTACGTAGACGACTTTTTGTTCCGGCCGGAGGAACAATCGGCGCTTGTCTTTGCAGTTGAGATATGTTGCTTCTTGCGCGTCTTAAGCTGCCCCATTAGCTGTTGCAAAGTTTCATTTGGACGACGGGTCCGCTGGTTTGGCGTTGATGTGAATTTCTATGCGCGCTTCTGGCGTGTCCCAGAGGAGAAACGGTCAAAAGACCTCAACCTCATCTCCAAGCTCATTCGCATGGGCGCGCGCCTTCCACGCAAAGAGGTCGAATGCCATGTTGGGCTGTCCCTCTGGTTCTCTGAGGCGCTGCCCGCGCTCCGGCCGCTGCTCTCGGAGTTCTACCCGCCGCGTCGCTCCTTTCCCTGTCCCGCTTGCAGCTCGCGGAGGCGGTGCAGCTCGCAGACGGCGCCTTCATCATGCGGACGCACGCGTCGCACAGCGGGCTTCGGCAGGGCTGGCGCGTTATATCCTTGGGCGGGAAAGACATGACCTCGCCGCAGCAGGCCGCGAAAGTCCAGCCGAACGTCAGGGGCATGATCTGGGCCAGGGCGCTGCCGTACCATCGCGACCCCTGTCGGTTTCGAAGGGGCCCTGCTGGCCTGGGAGCGCACGCTGCGGGGCATCCCGCTGCAAGCTTCACTTCGCCCTCCACTGTCCCTTCCGGGGTCCGCGGCGGCCGATGCGTCCGCCAGCGACAAGTCGTGGGGGATCGGCGGGTGGTGCTCTGCGGAGGCCTCGGACCCTTCCCCGGCCCTTGCTGGCGGTTCTCCTTCCAAGGTAGCATCTCGAATTTGTCACCTGAGTGGCAACTTGGTCCGAAGGCCCAGCCGCTCACCTCGTGCTTCGAGCTCCTTGCGCAGATCGCGTTGCTGGTTTACCGATTGCGCTCTCCCGCGCCAGTGGCGGGCCGCCTCCTCTTACGCCAGGGAGCGGGCAACATCGCCAGCGGCGCAGCAATCATGAAGGGGTTCACCACGGCCCATCCATTGGGACATTTTTTCCAGCTTGCCGTGAGATGGTCCTCGATCGCCCGGGTTCGGTTTGAAGTTGATTGCGTTCCAGGCGTCGACAACACGTGGGCAGACGCCTTGAGCCGCGACTTTAGTTGGTTCTTCCCGAAGCAACAGCGCGCTCACATCCACCTCTCGGACCTGCTCGGCCCTGGAGGACGAGTTCGCCTACATCCAGACAACGAGACGTGGCCGGGCCACTTGCGGCAACTGGCCACAGCGAGCTCGCGGTGGCATGTCCCGCAGAGTTTTCAACCTCCGGTCCGATGCCGCACGCATCCTCGCAAAGCTGGGCGCTGAGCACAGTTCCGGCGCGCACCTCGCCCGAACGCGGGGGGGTGAGGGGGGCGAGCACGCCCGGGTTGCGGTGGCACGCGGGAGGGCCGAGAACTTGCCGCTGTGCCTCTGTCCCGCGGAGCACCGGACCCCGCGGCAGCAACGACGACACCACCGCAGAAAACATGTGGGGATCGTCGTCTCTCCCCTTTTTTTCCCTCACCCCTGCTGTGTCAACGGGCACCGACCCCGAGGGATGTAGCCTGAGTTGGGGCTTGGGTAGGCCCGTGGTGAAGACTTCAGGCATATCCCTCCGGAGGGTGGTCTTGTGTACAGCGGCCCAGGCCGTTGCGGCGTCGCGTAAGCTGCTCGCGCTGTCGTCTGCGCAACCTCTTCCTGAGGTTGCCCCTCTTGGCCGTTGTGGGATTTTTGTTCGCAGTGCGATACGCTGGTTGGCCGCCTATGAGCCGAGGCGGCCGCGGGCACGCGAAGAGGGACCACTGGAATCCCCCCCCAGCCTATATCCCCCCAGCCGAAGAGGGACCAAGGAGTGCGCTGAGAGGGAGACGCTGCACATACGCTTTGACGTCCCGTCTTGTGTACAGCGGCCCAGGCCGTTGCGGCGTCGCGTAAGCTGCCCGCTTCTGAGCACGGAGGGCGGCAGAGCCAATGGGTGGACGCCGGCGTGTCGCCGCCCAGGCCTGCACAGGACCGCGTGCAGATACTTGAGTCCTACGTCGCGGTACTTTCGTGAGGCCCTCCATGCACCATTGAGGCTCAGGGGTCGCGTGCCCGAGAGCCAATCGAAGTGTTGTCCCTCCCGAGCGCAGCTTCCCCTTCCTCTGCAGCAGTGCGAATGCATCGTGGTAGGGGGGGGGGCAGAGAATTTTCAGGAGGGGAAAAAACACAGAGACACAATTCATCGTCGATGCCCCAGAAAAGATGGGAAAATATGGGAAGTGGGGGGGAAGACAAAAACCCAGAAAATATTGGAAAATATTGAGAATCCTGTTATTTGTGTCTATTTATTTGTGTGTCCCAGGGCCTCTTCAAACTTGCCGCTGTGCCTCTGTCCCGCGGAGCACCGGACCCGGCGGCAGCAGCGGCGACACCACCGCAGAAAACATGTGGGTATCGTCGTCTCTCCCCTCTTTTTCCCGCACCCCTGCTGTGTCAACGGGCACCGACCCTGAGGGATACGGGTCTCTTAAAAATTCGCAAGAGCGCGCGCATGTTTTCTTGTAAACAGAAAATCAGTGTTGCCAAACCCTGTGTTCTTTTCTATGCTTTGTGGACACTCGATTTTGAAATCCTTCCGAAACCGCGAGTTGTTGAAGGATTTCGGCATGCGCGCGCGACGACGCGCGCGTGTACACTTCGTTACATCTGTTGCAAGGGATTTTGGAAAATTTGTGATTTTTGATAAACGACTGCGCGCGCATAGTATGTTTTGCAGAGGATGGCGGGGGGGGGGCCGGTACCGGCCATGGCTGGGATAGTATGAACTCACAGGTAGGATAGACATTGGGTCCGAATCCCATGTGTTTTGCATTGGTTCCCTGGGGGTCTTTAAGTACGGGGGGGGAAGGTGGTAGAATTCATTTTTTCGGGAAGAAGACTAACGTGGTGCAGTCTAGGTTGTGCGATCTATGTGGTGCGCCATCGATGTGGCACGAAATATGTGGTAAATTCATGTTGTGCAATTCATGTTGTACCAGGTATATGTGTATATACATACATATATTATGCAATCTCTGAGGGCGGCCACAGCGGCAACAAGCGCGGCGACCGACAGACAAGCCAAGACGAGCGGCGACGGGGTGGCGACGGCTGCAACAATCGAGGCGACCGACAGACTGCCCCAGACGACGCGCGGCAACGAGGCGGCGACGGGGCGGCGACGGTGGCCACATAGCCGCCCGACAGGCCACACTGCCCAGATGACGGGCGGCGACGAGGCGGCGACGGGGCGGCAATGGCGGCCACATAGCCGCCAGACCGAAGGCACGGCCCAGGCTTTAGAACAGAAATGAAAACCCTAAAATGCTCGCGCTGTTTGGGGGAACGCACACATGTAGATGTGTGTATATATATATATGTATATATATATATGTACACAGCTACAGCTATAGCTAGCTATAGCACTCTCTCTCTCTCTATATATATATATCGTTATCTATATGTGTAACAATATATATATATATATATGTGTGTATATATATACATATATATATATATATATATATATATATATATATATGGCCGGCGTTTTAGACTCGGGGGGGCCGAGGCCTGTTCCCCCATGGCGATACGGGAGCTCCAGGAGCTCTCTTTCCCATTTCACGACGACTAAGATGCCCTCCAAGACGGCCGCGATGGCTCAAGATGGCCCCAGAGATGCCTCCAACACCGCCAAGAAGCCCCCAAGACGCCCCAAGAGGCCCACAAGAGGCCTCCCAAGAGAGTCCGTAATTAGCCATTTTGGCTCAAGCCATCCAGGCTCAAGATTTGTAGGCGACCGGGGCGCGCACAGGCGACCGCAGTTGAGGCCAGAGATGGGTGCCTCGGGCAGCACCGGGCCCGACCGCCACAATGGGAATGCGGGGTCTGGCGAGAGGCCTGGCCACCGCGTCCGTCGTGTGCGGGTCACGGGAGCCGGCCTGCCACAGGTGAACGGCGTCTATTTGCCGACGGCGGATTTCGCCGGCGGCGAGGCGTTCCAGCTGGAGGTGAACAAGGACAGCATAAAAAAGATCTACATCCGTTGTCGGTCGGATCATGTGCGAGACGCCTGGGTCATCACGATGTCTTCAAACTCGGACGTGAGCGGTGGGAATCTGTACAAACGTGAGTGCGAGAGTCAGGAGCAGATCACGCCGCCGCTCTTTGGCTGGAAGCCGTGCGCGGCAAGTGATGGCTTGCCGGGGAGTCTTGCGACCCAAGTAGTCCAGGGTGTGCCGAAGCTTAAGTACTACTACGGCCCACTCGAGGAGATCAATTGGGACTGCCAGCCACCGTCGCCAGCACAGCTGCACAAGCCGAAAGCCACCCGCGAGATGCCGCCTCGGCAGGAAGGCATCAGCTCGAGTCTCACAGTGTGCGTCATCGGCGCGAACAACATCCCCAGTACCCGCGCGCGCGAGTTTCACGTGGCCTGCCAGGTTCGGGCCGGGCGAAAGGGGGGATTGGGAAAGGGGGGGGTTACGAAATTTGCTGCATGCAGCTGGTTTTGGCCTCACCGAGGGGCCCATTCCTCGATACATAGTCGCCTCCGGCGCCGGGAGGCGCCGGGAAAATCAGCTACGTGAGCTGATTCTCAAACCCCCCCTTTGCTATCCCCCCCCTTTCGCCCGACCCGACAGGTACCTGGCAAGAACCAGACCATCGAGTCCGTGGCGGTGCCCGCCGGTCAAGACCCAGAGTTCAGGCTGAAGACCCCCTTCCAGAGCTGGAGGCGTCCCGACGATTTACAGTTCACCCTATATGCCGAGCGTGATATCAAGATTGGCGTAGCCTCGTTGGACTACGAGTACTTCAGCGAGAGCGGTTTTGTCGGAGAGATTCCCGTCACGTTGTTCGGTAGTGACAGCCAGGAAGTCACGATGAGTGTCTGTGTCGCTTTGCCAGGGCAAGTCACGCCAGGCGTTGATGTCGAAATTCGCAAGGACCACGGCTCGAAGATCGGCATCGAGATCGCTCCAGATACGCAGAGCAGTGCCCTGACCGTAACCAAGATCCTGGAAGGAGGGCTCATTTCCCAGTGGAATTACGATAACCCTGATCAGCAAGTTAGGACCCGCGACAAGATCACCGAGATCGACGGTATCAGGGGCTCGTGCTTGACCTTGCTGGCGAAGTTTGCCGATGACGAGCCGAGGACCATCAGGATGCGCACTCAGCGCGCCGGTACCTAAGTGGCGCTGAGGGGCCCATGACGTGCCAAAGAGCTGTCAACGAACCACACTCTTCTAACGAGCGTGTGCAGAGCTGTGTGGGACGTCTGCCCAGACGCTTACCATACAAAGCTGGAGCTGTACAATCATTTTTGCGAGCCGCCCCCCGCCAGCGCAGAGGCCTGCTTACTCCTGAGCGTAGTCGCGTGAATAGCGCGGTGCTCAGGACTCACTTGGTCGGGGGCGCTGCCCGCTCGCCCTTGCCGCGTGCCTGCCGTCGTCGTTGCGTCCTGGCGCGACAGCGCGACCTGCCTCGACTGCACGGGCCGCGGCGTGAGCTGCACCAGTCTGGGGATGGCCACAACTGGCGGCCTCCTGCCTCCGTCCTCTCCCTAACCCTGCAGTCTTCGAGCTTGTCGGCGCCAGTGGAGCGTTCTCGTCAGGCCTTCTCTGTCTTGCCTTTCCCTTCCTTGACCCCTCATCTCTGCTCCCAGCGCCTTTCCTCACCTCCCGTCCGATGCCCTGGCAGGAGCTCCTACTCTTCCCCCTCCTCCGCCTCCTCCTCCTCCCCTCCCCTCCTTCCCTCTCTTCCTCCCTCCCAACGTCTCCGTGTGCGCGATGCGCGTTTTCTTTGTTTTTTCCCCAGCGTCGCGATCGTCGCCGAAGTTGCTCCTCATTACGTCTCTTACAAGACACAAGAACATGAGAGAGTCCTGATATCTAATGGTCTTGTCACTATTGTCTGGCACGGCGGCCGACGTATGCTTGTTCAGGCTTTTTCAGACGCATGGCTCCCTGAGGAGTCAGCCCTTGCATCGTCGAAGTTTTCTTCTTCGTCTGGCACGGTGACCGACGTGTCCGGGGGCCGCGACAGTGCTGAAGGAAAGCGCACAGCAAAAAAAAGAGGCCTCCCAAGAGAGCCCCAAGAGGCACAAATGGTTTCATTCCCCTTTCGGAAGACGCATCGTTGTACCAAATTCGCAAGACCTTCCCAAGACGGCCCAAAGGCTCCCAATAGGGCTCGCAGACTGCTCAAGAGGGCGCCCCCGACGGCCGAAGAGGGCCCCAGGGCGCCCCACGAAGGGGCCCCGAGGGGGTCCCCGGACGGATGTTTGAAGCCCTCTGGCCCCGGAGGCCCCCAGTTCCCAAGAGGCCCCCCATAGAGGCCCCAAGAGAGGTCCCCTGGAGACCCCCAAGAGGCCCTGAAAGAGGCCCCCCCCAAGGAGCCCCCAGGAGACCCCTGCAAGGCCCGACGGGCCCCCGTCGAGCTTACCGGAGCCACCGGGCGTCCGAGGGGGTCCGCGAGCGGCCGCCCCCGAGTTGGCCCACGACGGCTTCGCCGAGGCCGACGGGAGCCTCGAGACCGTTCAAGAGCGCTCCAAGGCAGCCCCGGTGGGGGGGGGGGGGCTCGAGAGGCCAAACTTGCCGATTTCGCTGCGGCGTTGGCAGGTTTTCAGCGTTCTCGCTTTTTCAGCCTCCTGACCGCCCAAGGCGGCCCGAGGGGCCTTCCAAATCGCCCCAAGACCGCACCACAGCCCTCCAAGAGGGCCCCAAGGTAACCCAAGAAAGCCCCAAGGCGGCCCAAGAGAGCCCCAGAGGGCCCCAGTAGGCCGTTCAAGCCGTCCAAGATGGCCCTGAGGCAGCCCCAGAGTCCCCCAAGACGACCCAAGAGGACTCCAAGACGGCCATGGCGGCCCAAGGGGCCTCCCGAGTCGCCCCACTACGGCCTGAGTGGCCCCCAAGAAGGTCCAAAGACAGCTCCAAGATGGCCCACGAGAGCCCCGAGGCGGCCAAAAAGAGCCCCAGTGGAGCTTCCAACATGTTTCCGCTTCCCTGGAAATCTTGCCTCCGGGATACCCGTCCACGCCGCTCCCGAGCAGTTCGAAGAGCCCCGACGAGGGCCCCGTTCTCCCGAGAGTGGCCCCACAGTTCCGCAGGATTGTATCCATCACCTTCCTCAGGAGCGAGCGCGCAGTGCGTTCTGAGGCTCGGGGTGTGGAGGAGGGAACGCAGCCAGCGGGCCGAAACACAAGAGGAGAGACAGGGGGGAGGGGAGGGGAGCCTACCAAAGTCCTCTATCATCATTGCTGAGAACTCGTCGCCTCGAGGACTGAATTTCAAGATGGCGGTTATGAGGATGATGCAGCCAGGGAGAGAGAGGAACACGTGAGAGGGGAGGGGAGAGAGAGAGATAGAGAGATAGAGAGAGAACATGTACAAAACAAACAAGAGAAAGAGGATCAGAGACAGAGGAACAGAGGAAACAATGGAGGAGGTGGCATGGTGATAATTCGGAGGAGGAGAGGGCAATTAGCAGAAGGACGGCGATGAGCATGACGAGATCGATGAGGGCCTTCGCTCTGGCGATCAAGGAACGGCTCTGCTTTGAGATTTGACTCTGACCCGTCCGTCGTTGAGCCGCTGCCCCGGTCTGCGCTAGAACCTGAACCCGCGCGAAGCGCGCGTGGTTCTCATACACAGGTTAACGTATACATGTATAACCTATATACGTATTCATATATGCAAACTGTAGATCCATAGGTAAATGCATATATGTGTGCATGCATGCATGTGTGCATGTATGCGTGCATGTTTGTCTGTATGTGTGTGTCTGTATGTGTATATGCATGTATGCATGCATGTAAGTATGTTTGTATGTACCTATACGTCCGCCCTGGGGGCGATAAGGAGGTTTAGGGGGATTGAGATCAAATGCCCACCCTGACTGACCTCCAGCCTGTCACCTTGATCTCATCTCTCTCTTTCACTCTGTCTCTCTCTCTCTCTCACTCTCTGTGTGTCTCTCTCTCTCGCCTCCTCTCTCTCTCTCCCTCTCTGGGTGGACTGGGTTGGACAAGATAAGATGGGTTGGATTGGAAGAGATGGATTGTATAAGATAAGATGGATTGGATTTGCCCGCCGCAGGCGCAGAAACAAATGAATGGATGTATTGGGTTGGATGGATCGGAATGGGTGGGATATGATAAGATGGGACAAGATGGTTTGGATAAGATAAGATGGATTGGATTGGACAATATGCATTGGATAAGATAAGCTGTATTGGATAAGAAAGCCCGCCGCTGGCGCCGACAAAAATGAATTGATGGATTGGGTTGGGTTGATTGGATTGGATGTGATAAGATGGATTGGATAAGATATGATGGGTTGTATTGGAAGAAATGGATTGGATAAGATAAGATGTATTGGATTGGCCCGCCGCAGGCGCAGAAACAAATGAATTGATGGATTGGGTTGGATGGGTTGGATGGGGTGGGATAAGATAAGATGGGACCAGATGGGTTGGATAAGATAATTTCGATTGGATAGGACAAAATGGATTGGATAAGATAAGCTGGATTGGACAAGAGAGCCCGCAGCAGGCGCTGAAACAATTGAATTATGAAATTAGCGACATGCGTTAGCGCCGGGACGCCCGGGACACCCGGGACACCCGGGACACACGAAACCGAAACCGATTTCCCAGTGGGGGGTCTGTTTCACTGCGATCTCACCCCCCAACCTCCGATGTATGCATATACGCCTGCATGCATGCATGTATGTCTGTCTGTCTGTCTGTCTGTCTGTATGTATGTATGTATGTATATATATATATATGTATATATATATATATATATATCACGGGGGGGACGGCCCGGGGCCCGAAAACAGCTGCCTCGACCCTCCATGGGAGTACCGGGGCTCATTTTCCTTTTGCTTTTAGAGGGTTTCGGCGGCCCGGGCCTCGGAGGCCGCCGCGATGGTCCCAGACATTTTCCAGATCCTCGGCGCGGGTTTCAAGATCATTCCGCAGAGGGTTCCAACATGCTCCAGGGCAGCCCAAGAGGGTTCCAAGACGGCTCTAGGAACGACTGCAGGCTCTCATGTTTCCTCTGTTTTCTGCAAGACGGCTCCAGGAAGACTGCATGTCTTATGAGGACGGCTTCCGCCTCTTGCCCCGAGCGTCCCAAACTGCCTGAACGGTTTCCACTCGCCTTCCCCAGACCCTGCGCTTGCCCAAGCGCGTTCCGGACGGTCTTCGCCGGAACGCGCTGGAATGATCACGCGCTGCGGTTTCCCATGCCAACGTCCTCGGACGTGGGCGCCCTGCCACGAGCGCGTTCCGGGAAGATGCTCCCAGAACGCGCTGAAAAGACATGGCCACATCTCGGGGACGCTCCCGGCACCGGTCCCCCAGCCTTTCTGGGGAGCCTCCACAGCGCTCCTGGAGGGCCCAAGACGCCCCCCAGGAACCCCCAGAATGCGAAAGGATTGCCCAAGACGCTCCCGAGCAGCCCAAGTCAGCCTTCCGACGGCTCTCGAGGCTCCCAGGTGGCCTCCAGGAGATCCCGAGAAGTCTGATAGGTATCACGGTACGGCCCGAAGAGGCCAAAGTCGTATATGTTCAATGGTCTTTCAATGTTTTTGGTTCTCGCGTTTTCGAGCTTCCAACGGTCCAAGAGCGCCGAAGAGCCTCCCAAGACCGCCCCAAGACCACCCAAGAGACCCTCAGGACGGCCCCAAGACGGGCCAAGAAGGCTCCAAGACTGCCGAAGAGGCGCCCAGCACAGCCCCAGACCACCCCAGAACAGGCCCAAGATGGGCCCAAGAGCGGGAGCAGGAGGCTTCCAGAGACCTCCGAGAGGCCTCCGGGACCCCCCAGAGGCCCCCAACACACCCCCGATCCCTGAGAGGCCCCAAAGAGACCCCGACGAGGCCCCAAGAACAGCCCAAGAGATCTGCGAGAGCCGTCCCGAGAGAGCCCAAAGAGGGTAAAATCGTTGATGTCCTATGGTTTTTCCTATGTTTTCGCCTTCTCACGTTTTCCCGCTTCCAGCCCTCAAAGATCGAGGATTTGGGAAAAAAGAGGGAATTCCAAGAATTCCTTTTTTTCATCAAAGTGGAACTCCTACTCGGGGGTCCTACATATCCCCTGGCATCTGGCCGGTACCGCGCCCCCCGGCTTCTTAACGTTTTCGCGGAGTCTCCGAAGGCCCCAAGGAATCCGGGAATTGTGGATTTGGGTTAGATGCTCATCTATTCAGGACTCAGGACAGAAATTCATGCGCGAACCAAGCATGTCCATCTCTCGTTCAAGTGCCGTGTGGGATAAGTAATGCTGGGGTATTTAATTGCATGGCGCTGCAGCCCAGGGCAGCAGCGCCTTTCACGCAGCAGTATCCAGCGAGCTGCAGCCCAAGGTAGCAGCTCATGTACAGCGCTTGCCGCTGCACCCCAGGCACTTTCTACTCAGAGCAAGCGACGCCCGCTGGCCGCCAAGATGGCCCCTTAGTGGTCCAAGACGCTCCAAGATGCTTCAAGGCGGCCCCCAGGGGCCACAAGATGCCCCAGTGGAACTCCCAAAGGCCCTCCCAAATGACCCCAGAGAGCCACAAACGCAAAAGCCATTCAGGTTTCTCCATATTCAGTAAAGCTCACGCTCGTCTCCTTCGGATGACTTCGGGAGAGTTTCACATGGCGCCGAGGCTCGAGACGGCCCCACAACTTCGAAGAAGAGCCCAAGAGGGGCCCAAGCGGGCCCCAAGGCCTTCAAGGCAGCCCAAACAGGAAGATCCACAGAAGACCCGTACATTTCAAGCCAGCCCACTTCATATTGAATATCTTCCCGCGCCGGCCCTGAACAGCTCGAAGCCCCTGCATAATACCAAGCAAGAGGAGGCCGTCGATAAGAACGAGAAACGAAAAGCGAGGACAACCGAGAGAGTCTGGAGGGTTAACGAGGAAGGACGTATAAGGAATATTGGAGAACGACGTAAAGCAAGGCATGGAGTGAACCTGTCCGAAAAGCACGCGCAGCTAACAACCAAGCGCGCGCGAAGCGCGCGCGCGGTTCTATATAATATAAATCAATACCGCCCCCCCCGGCCTTGGGTCCCACAC